TATGAAAAACAGACAGGAACAACACTGACACGTTGGAAACGGAAAAACAAATAATCTGAGGGATCAAACAGAACTACAATATACGGGAGGTAATTAAACTGTGATGAAGTCCTGGTGAGTCCAATGAAGTGCTGATGCGCGTAACGATGGTGACAGGTGTGCGTAATGATGGGCAGCCTGGCACTCAGGGAGGGGGAGCGGGAGCAGGCGTGACACACATAGGTTTGTGGGGATAAAACTATTGGGGAGAGCCCCATTTTCTCTGATTATCTCACTGGGGAGATACCTCCAAATATGTTTCTAACTAACCCAAGATAGACCACAGCCTGTATTGAGATTAAATGTTTCATTGATGAGGAAATTAGCATAATGTTGGCCAAAATTAATCTCGTTCCATCTTCTCCCACTGCCGGCCACTGGGCTTCCTCTCACCACCATATTTGGTAGTGAGTGGAAACGCAATCCGGATGCTTCACATTTATACATCCCGTGAAATATCTGTCACATTGTTCTATCTGTGATACCTCCCGCTGTACTGTGATTTATGGCTAGCTAGTTCAAGCTAGGGTTGCTTCTTTTGTGCCGCTAGCTCCCGTTACCCCGTGCAGTGTAACATTGAAACGTCTGTTGACATTAACCCTATTTCCCTCTCCGTCCGTTTGTTATTTAAGCTAAAGCTAGTAAAGTTGTAAGATCGGGAAAGCCCTAAACGCCGCAATATATTCAGATTCAAACTGAAAGTGAAATGTGGTGCGTGGGGGGTGGAGTGGGCATGCACCAGGTAACAGGTGCTACAATGCGTACGAGTGTTCTTATGGCTACATAAGGTCTGGATTTCTGCTATTGTAAAACAGCCATTCTCTCCCAGTCCCAATTACATTTAAAATAGTATGATTGATCATTCATCATTAACTCATAGGTTATTGTTCATACTTGTAAAGTCAGTGAATGTTCTAATTCACTAGCGCGAAATATGGAAGACTGCACACGGTTTACTATCCCCTCACACAACTTGGCACTTATTGAGTCCCGTAAGTGGGATAAGAAGTAGTTTGTGGTTTTGCTTAAATGCTTTTCTCTCTGTCAATTCCTCACGAACTGTGGGCTTTGTATGCACTATGCACACCAATAGGCTCCTGCGTAATAACCATTGGCATCGCTTGTGGACGTAATCTAGAGGTAAAGTATGGCGTATGGGTCCGTGTACCTCTGGCAAATGGTTTGCACTGTCATCATTTGTGAAATTGTGATTCCACAACTATCATGAATTCACACTGTGTAGTCAATTAATTTGTCATTTTGATTCCAGCATTAAACAAGCCACCTGGTGCCACGCGCACATCACGGCAGAATCACAATCGATTTTAAATAGCTGGGCTACAAAGAGGAAAATGATGACCTCATTCATTCTATTCAACAAATTACTAGTTTAGGTGCTCATACCTGTTAGTTTACCTTGCTTCAGTTGCTTCCACTGTCCAATTCGAGCCGAAAGCTAGACGGAGCGGCTGAAATGTTAAATCCTTGAGCACGGTTGCTAGAGATAAAGGGGGAAACGGGCTGTGTGACAGTGCGGACCCCACCGAACTGCGGTTTGAATGCCTATTGTCGAGTAGGTCGCTTGTGATGGGAATTTCACAAATGATAAGACAGTAACGTTACAGCCTACCATAAAACAATTTTAAGAGTAAACTAATACTGTGTCCAAAAGTTTCAGAATTATGAGTTTCATCTTCACCCTAGGAAACGGTAATATAAAACGTACACTTCTTCAAATCAAATCAAATTTGTCACATGTGCGGAATACAACAGGTGTAGACCTTACCATGAAATGCTTACTTACAAGCCCTTCACCAACAATGCAAGTCAAGAAATAGAGTTATGAAAATATTTTTAAAAATAAACTAAATTAAATAACAATAACGAGGCTATATACAGGGGGTACCTGTACCTAGTCAATGTGCAGGGGTACCGGTTAGCCGAGGTAATTTGTACAGGTAGGGGTAAAGTGACTATGCATTGATAATAAACAGTGAGTAGCAGCAGTGTAAAAACAAACGGGTGGGGGGGTCAATGTAAATAGTCCGGGTGGTCATTTGATTCATTGTTCAGCAGTCATAGCTTGGGGGTAGAAGCTGTTAAGGAGCATTTTGGACCTAGACTTGGCGCTCTGGTACCGCTTGCCGTGCGGTAGCAGAGAGAACAGTCTATGACTTAGGTGACAGTCTATGACTTGGGTTTTTGAAATAATTTTGGGCCTTCCTCTGACACTGCCTAGTATATAGGTCCTGGATGGCAGGAAGCTTGGCCCCAGTGATGTATTGGGCCGTACACACTACCCTCTGTAGCGCCTTATGGTCGGATGCCGAGCAGTTGCCATACCAGGCGGTGATGCAACCGGTCAGGATGCTCTCGATGGTGCAGCTGTATAACTTTTTGAGGATCTGGGGACCCATGCCAAATCTTTTCAGTCTCCTGAGGGGGAAAAGGTGTTGTCGTGCCCTCTTCAAGACTGTCTTGGTGTGTTAGGACCATGACAGTTTGTTGGTGATGTGGACACCAAGGAACTTGAAACTCTCGACCCGCTCCACTACAGCCCCGTCGATGTTAATGGAGGCCTGTTCGGCCCTCCTTTTCCTGTAGTCCACGATCATCTCCTTTGTCTTGCTCACATTGAGGGAGAGGTTGTTGTCCTGTCACCACACTGCCAGGTCTCTGACCTCCTCCCTATAGGCTGTCTCATCGTTGTCGGTGATCAGGCCTACCACTGTTGTGTCGTCAGCAAACTTAATGATGGTGTTGGAGTCGTGCTTGTCCACGCAGTCGTGGGTGAACAGAGAGTACAGGAGGGGACTAAGCATGTACCCCTGAGGGGCCCCGTGTTGAAGATCAGCATGGCAGATGTGTTGTTGCCTATCCTTACCACCTGGGGGCAGCCTGTCAGGAAGTCCCGGATCCAGTTACAGAGGGAGGTGTTTAGTCCCAGGGTCCTTAGCTTAGTGATGAGCTTTGTGGGCACTATGGTGTTGAACACTGAGCTGTAGTCAATGAACAGCATTCTCACATAGGTGTTCCTTTTGTCCAGGTGGGAAAGGGCAGTGTGGAGTGCGATTGAGATTGCGTCATCTGTGGATCTGTTGGGGCGGTATGCGAATTGGAGTGGGTCTAGGGTTTCCGGGATTATGGTGTTGATGTGAGCCATGACCAGCCTTTCAAAGCACTTCATGGCTACCGACGTGAGTGCTACGGGGCGGCAGTCATTTAGGCAGGTTACCTTCACATTCTTGGGCACAGGGACTATGGTGGTCTGCTTGAAACATGTAGGTATTACAGACTCGGTCAGGGAGAGGTTGAAAATGTCAGTGAAGAGCCGGTGTAGTAGGATTCAATCTTAGTCCTGTATTGAGGGCATAGCGGGTTTTCTTATAAGCTTCCAGATTAGTGTCCCGCTCCTTGAAAGCGGCAGTTCTAGCCTTTAGCTCGGTACGGATGTTGCCTGTAATCCATGGCTTCTAGTTGGGATATGTACGTATGGTCACTGTGGGGACGCCGCCGTCGATGCACTAATTGATGAAGCCGGTGACTGAGGTGGTATACTCCTCAATGCCATTGGATGAATCATGGAACATATTCCAGTCTGTGCTAGCAAAACAGTCCTGTAGCGTAGCATCCACGTCATCTGACCACTTCCTCATTGAGCGAGTCACTGGTACTTCCTGCTTTAGTTTTTGCTTTTACATTTTATTCATTTAGCAGACGCTCTTATCCAGAGCGACTTACAGGAGCAATTAGGGTTAAGTGCCTTGCTCAAGGGCACATCGACAGATTTTTCACCTAGTCGGCTCGGGGATTAGAACCAGCGACCTTTCGGTTACTGGCACAACGCTCTTAACCACTAAGCTACCTGCCACCTATAAGCAGGAATCAGGAGGATAGAATTATGGTCAGATTTGCCAAATGAAGGGCGAGGGAGAGCTTTGTATGCATCTCTGTGTGTGGAGTAAAGGTGGTCTAGAGTTTTTTTCCCTCTGGTTGCACATGTGACATGCTGGTAGAAATGAGATCAAACAGATGTAAGTTTGCCTGCATTAAAGTCCCCGGCCACTAGGAGCGCCGCTTCTGGATGAGCATTTTCTTGTTTGCTTATGGCCTTATACAACTCGGTTTGTGGTGGTAAATAGACAGCTACGAATAATATAGATGAGAACTCTCTAGGTAGATAGTGTGGTCTACAGCTTATCATGAGGTACTCTACCTCAGGCGAGCAATACCTCGAGACTTCTTTAATATTAGACATCGCACACCAGCAGTTATTGGCAAATAGACCCACACCCCCGACCCTCGTCTTACCAGACGTAGCTGCTCTGTCCTGCCGATGCACGGAAAACCCAGCCAGCTCTATATTATCCATGTCGTCGTTCAGTCACGACTCGGTGAAACATAAGATATTACAGTTTTTAATGTCCCGTTGGTAGGATAGTCTCGACCGTAGATCTATACGTTTGTTTTCCAGTGATTGCACGTTGGCCAATAGAACCGATGGTAGTGGCGATTTACTCACTCGCCTCCGAATCCTCACAAGGCGCCCCAACCTTCTCTTTCTGTATCTCCGCCTTTTCTTCACTAAATAAATAATCTTTGTCCAGTTCGAGGTGAGTAATCACTGTTCTGATGTCCAGAAGCTCTTTTCGTTCATAAGAGACGGTAGCAGCAACTTTATGTACAAAATAAGTTACAAACAATGCGAAAAAACTAACAAAATAGCACAGTTGGTTAGGAGCCTGTAAAACAGCAGCCATCCCCCCGGCGCCATTATTCAATACATCCCTACTCTTTTTTAGAACATTGTGAGGAATGATGGTCAGTAGACTATGTTGTCTAATGCATAAATTGTCACATAACTCAAATGGCAAATAAGGCAGAGATAGAAAATTGTTACATTAACTGAATTCCCTTGTAATATACTGTCACCTAGTGGTATGAATATGTCAAATACACTGTTAGAAGATGGTACTCTTGTAACCATAGGCCTGAAGTGGTGGGTGGTCTAGGATAATGTATTTCCAATCATAGCTTGTGAATAAAAATATTGTTTTGCTTATCTGAAACCGAAAGGTCAACTAAAACTCACTGTGACCAGATTATTACACATTCATTTCTTTATTATTCATAATTTTATTTAATAACACATTATTTACAGGATGAGCAATGAGAGAGAGAAAGAAAGAGAGAGAGAGAGAGAGAGAGAGAGAGAGAGAGAGAGAGAGAGAGAGAGAGAGAAAGAGATGCATGCGTGCCGGACAGGAGTAGTGGGCCGCACAGTCCAGTGAAGGCTGCCAGTTAAGCAGCCTGTTTGAGTTGTTGTTAGGCCCACCATTTGAGTGGAACAGCAGAGCAGCACGCCAGAGGTATGGGATTTACCATAGATCACTGCCATCCGAACTGAAATAAAAATACACAAAAAGTCAGTATCTGCCCTTTCAAACTCACTAAAATCCATATCAAGTGATCAAACTTAGATATTGCTATTCATTGTTGGACTGACACATTGCCAATACAGTGTGTGAATAGGTCATCATGGTTTGGGTTAATTCCACAAATTAAATTCTAATTCAATTACCTCTCCCTGTAAATTCAATTTAATTCAAATTCCAGGTCAGTCTATGAATTCAGAGATAATTCAATTACTCTCAATTCCAATGTTAGGTAGATTCCAAGAAGTCAATTCCCAATTCAATATTATTCCACCAATTCAAATTCAATTCCCGTAGGATTTCAGGCTAGTCACTGTTCAGACAGCCTAACTATACTGGAAATATAGAAATACAAGTTTAAATTATTTAAAACAAGGATGGGCAACTGCGGGGGTCTCAATTTACTCTTGAGAGTGAGAATAGTAGAATACACAAGGTACAAGGTGCAATTTCGAAATTTGGTTGTGCATCAAACAGTTTTGGTCTTATATCAGTCACTCAATTAGCCCATGTCAGCTAACATTTTTTAGATTGGTAAGCTAGTCTAGCGGCCAGCCATCTAAACTTGTAGTAATCACGGTCGAATTACCGACCAGGGGAACCCCAATGATTGATTTTGTTAGTCACTCTTACTCAGATATCATATATAACATTTCTCTTCTCCCTATGGCAAAATGTGTAGAATTGCAGGAAATTAACTCTAAAACTTAAATGTTTTCTCTCCGCTGTCAAATTGTTTTCCTTGCAAGGTGGGGGGGGGGGGGGGCTCCAACAAAATTTAGTTTAGGGCCCCCAAAAGGCTAAGGCCGGCTCTGATTGCATGTGTGAGTATAGATGTGGGTATGCAGACCCATGAGCCACTGCGGCTCCGCATGATTAGTTCAGATTTTTTGTGGCCCCCACCCTCATCAAAGTTGCCGATCCCTGATTTAAAACAAATCCTGCTGTCAATGTTTTATGCTAAGTGCATTAATTCCACTACCTGGGAAATGTACAAATATTGATTTCCAATTCAATTCCAAAGATTAAATGTTTTTACAATTCCAATTCAACTCTAATTCAATCTGTCCAAACAGTCTAATTCCAATTCGATTCCAATTCCATAACTTGAAGATGGTTGAAATTCAAATTGAATTCAATGTAAATTCTCCACTTCTTGAGTGAATTCAAGAATTGAATTGGAATTTCAAATTAAATTGGAATTGACCCCAACCCTGTGGGTCATGTTGATATACTCAATGTATGAGTCTATTGTAACAAATAGCAGACACAATCATTTTGAATCACCCCGTCACCCAGTCTCTTCATTACATTTACATTTTAGTCATTTAGCAGACGCTCTTATCCAGAGCGACTTACAGTTAGTGAATACATATATATTTTTTATACTGGCCCCCCGTGGGAATCGAACCCACAACCCTGGCCATGCTCTATCAACTGAGCTACATCCCTGCCGGCCATTCCCTCCCCTACCCTGGACGACGCTGGGCCAATTTGTGCGCCGCCCATGAGTCTCCCGGTCACGACCGGCTGTGACAGAGCCTGGATTCGAACCAGGATCTCTAGTGGCACAGTTAGCACTGCGATGCAGCGCCTTAGACCACTGTGCCACTCTTCATCCTCTCACCGTGGTGTTAAGTCGCCTTCCGACTCGTCTCCGAACAGCAACCATGCCATAGCTGACTCAGGGGAAGACCTCTTCCCATACCTAGTGGACACAGAGAGGCCATCACTGTTACTGTATGTCACCAAGAGATATACATTGCTTGCTGGAGTGTGCTAACAGGGGTCCTATGATCATATCATGTCCCCTTGTGGCCATGAGTAGCTTGCCCACCTCATCATCGACAGCCCCATGAATTCCTAGGCACTAGTAACTCAATTAATCTTTCCGAGATCCCTCGTGTCCTCTCTCCTCACCTTCTTCTCAACTGTATTGGAGAATAAGATCCAAGGTCCTTCCCCTCGGACCTCCTTCTCACATGCGTTTTGAGAAGAAGGTGAGGAGAGAGGATGCTAGGAATCGAGGAAAGATTAATTGAGAAAGAGCAAAAGTGTCAAGAAATTTGACATTCTAAGTGCTTATACCCTACTCTGTGTACTCACTAATCACCAATACCATTTTTATTTCCAGAGGCAAGATCACATATCTCTCATAGCTCCAAACAAGGAGAGATTTGAAAGTCTAATGCCCAATGCTCAGCAAGGCAAGCAATCCTCAGCTCTACAGGCAGCGCAAAGGCATTTAAAATATACTTACTGAAATCAATGCCTGGCCATTGTGGAGTGATTCTCCCTTTGTGTGAGAACAGAGGGGCTGAACTGCATGGCACACAGCCCTTGCAGAGCATTGACAGCACCAGCCCTTTTAATGATAGCCTCTGCAGTCTTTAGACGTTTAATAGGAGACTGGTTCAGGTTCCCTCAAACTCTACACGCCTACATGAAATCTCTCTCCGAGCAACAGACGTAGCTGCACAGATAGATATGCCAAGATGCACAGGCAGGCACACATGTGAACACATAGATGCAGAATCACCATGCATACACAGATACACACATACACAAACACACACAACTGTTGTAAAAAAACGACGTCCTGAGCCTCTCCTCTCTACCTAACTTCCCCTCACAGTCCTTTCAGTTTCCCTTAAATCCCGTTAGTTTGGTTGCTCAGCCTACCTAAGTTATCCCTCACCCATCAGAGCCCTGCCATTCTCAACCAATCAGAGAAATGCGAATCTGGACATTGCACCTGCCCACTCAGGTCAGAGTGTTATCGTTGTCCGAAGGGAGAAGACACATGTTTCTGAGGACTTTTTATTGTCGACAGGGGGGGGGGGGGGGGGGGGGGTTTACATGCTGTGTAATAATAGGTTATTACCACTAATTACTTCATGTTACTTTGATAAGTTTCAGCCATATGTTCTACTGTATGGCTGTTATTATTCTTCAATGTTAGAGTTGCCAATGCTGCTTTGTGTATTGTTTATCGTATGTAGTATTATTCCATACTGCCATGAGTGTTATTGCATTGGTTGCACAAGTACTTATAAGTACACTGTACAGCATCGCATCATAGCCTAAAGCAGTCTTCCCTTACAACCCAGGTTGAGGGAATAAGAATAGCAACTCATTATAGATCAGTATAATGAAGCCAGACCAGACCAGACAGGTCAGGTATATTTGCCGGTAATAGCACATCTCCATTACACAGACCAAGGCCCCAGTGGAGCCATTATAGGTCTCTATTGGTGAACTCTATCCCTCTACGCAGGGTAGGTCAGGGCTGGAGCAAAACAGGCTCCTTTCCTTTCATTTCCGTACCATCATTATTTTAAATAACTACACTGTGATCTCCAAATACTAATCTCTCTGTCTGTATAATGCTGCTGCATATGTGGCTTTCCAAAACTGGAATTAAGTTATGTTATCACAGTGTTCAGAACAACAGGCTGGTCGGAGAGCCAAGAGAACATCATTATCCTCAGGCTTAGTTAAAATATCCTCTATAGAAACGTTTGTGGTCATATGCATATCCTTAAAAACGTAGGTGCTGGGATAATAAAGAATACTTGTAAAGTATCATAATGAATCACAGAGGTACATATGGTCATAAAGGATTATAATCAAAAGAGATCCATTGCGCTCTCCCAGAAGCTTGGCTGGTGCGTAAAACCCGCAAATTCAGATAAACAAAAAGGTCCATATCAGATTTTGCATATCGTTTATGAGTTGGCCCTACATATTTATGAACGGCTGTGGCTGATGTCCTTTGTGGTGGGCTATCTCATGAACTGATATGATGTCTTCAGGTGAGCAGACACCTGCGGCGGTTGATTCGTGAGTTGCCCTTCGTGCCCACTCCCATACCCTATAATTCTGTATTTCTTTGTGACTCATTTGTATACAGGTACACCAGAAAAGCCACAACCCTGATTGGCAAATGATTGGCAACCCTAATTAGAAGCACCTGCTCTCATCAGTTGTTCTCTACAAATGCTGTTTTGAATTAAAATAAAATGGTACCCACATGCTGAAGAAGGCTGTAATGCCGAAACGTCTGTGCAAGCTATCCCTGATGCAGTGAAAATCATTTAAGTAAGCTTTATGCGACATCTTTTTGAGTGCAAACCCACTACACCTTTCTGTTCATAAAGGATTATATACATACAAATCAGTCCAAGTTAAAAACCTAGGCAACAGTAAAAAAAAAAATATATATATATATATATATATATATGTTGGAAAATGTTGGAATGCCCGCCCATATGACCATTATGTGCAGGACGCCTGGTGGCAGTAGATATAATTACAGTGACCTATTTCAAAAACAACTTGTGTACCTCTAATCATTTGATATCAATGAGATGAACACATGTAATAGTTACAGAAAATCAAATATATACATATGTACAAAATGACCATGTAGAGATGTTGATTTGTCCTGCAATCCAGGTCTCCACTTGGTCATTTTGTACATAGGTATGCTATATAGTTGATTTTCTGTAACTACTACATGTGTTCATCTCATTGATATCAAATTATTAGAGGTACACAAGTTGTTTTTGAAATAGGTCACTGTAATTATATCTACAGCCACCTCATGTCCTGTACTTAATGATCATATGGGCGGGTATTCCAACATTTTCCAACATATTATTTTTTTCTTTACTGTTGCCTAGGTTTTTAACTTGGACCGATTTGTATGTATATAATCGTTTGACCATATGTACCTCTGTGATTAATTATGATTGACTGCGCAAAAGTGAATTAAATTGTTTCCACACCCAGCATGTGTCATGTGAGGTGAAATGTGTATATTTTGGGATGTGAGCACTCAGCCTGTTTGACCTGAGGAAGATCTGTTTCGGGTCGAAACGTGGTCAATAAAGCGGGGAATTGGGAGCATAAACATTATGTGGGGCCTTCCTGTTCCTTATTAGTTAAATATCCCTCATAACTTCTCCTGTGACCTTGGCTATAGTGGTCATTTGACCTCTTAAGATTATCAGCAATATTTGATTGGAATTTAGGGAGGTGCATTTTTTTTGTTTTCTTTGTATTCAAATTGAAAGAAGGAACATGTAATCAATCTATTGATTGTCAGTAGCAGCTTACATTCCCTTAAAACCCAATAGGCTGAAAGGTTTGCATCGTTAGAGTGCTGACTCACTCACCTCTGTCTAGTGATGAGGTTGATGTAGTGTCGCAGTTCCGTGTTGTATCTGGCCCATTCCTCCGGGGACGCGTTGTTGTCGGGGCTCACAGGCTTGGGCGGGTAGGCATCCGCGAAGGTGCCCAGGCTAACCAGCACGCACACGACGAGGGCTACGAGGATCAACCAGGGTCTCAGTATGTTGGCCATCTGTAAATAAAGAATGTAGGCAAAAATGTCCCTCAAAACTGCTGGACTTAGATTTGAGTAAGATGAGTAAGACTTTGTCTTTTTGACAGGAGGATTCATCAGAGACACGTTAACAGGTGCGCTGTCTATGGTGCCGAAATGTGTGCCAAAGTTTCTTACGAAATAAATCAATTGGTCTTCAACCTATTGATTCTACAATGCTATGGAACATTCTGTAAGTGTTAAGTAATGATAATGAAGAATCGCTTCTTTACTCTAACATTCAGACTTGCTACTGCAATTGGTCGTTCTTGAATTGCGGTGGCAGTTGCGTCCCTTGCCTTTGCAACACTTTAAAATTACAAACAGTTACACGTGCATGTTTTTGTTTATATTGAAGTGTTTATCACTGATAAAACCATGCCACAAAACGTTATGTTTATACATTGTTTAAAGTACTTAGGGCAAGCAAATTGGCTTGTCCCAGTAGTGACCCAGAATAATTGTAGTTACATGTTTTGGGGATTTAGAGATATCTATCTATTATTTTGAATGCTAGAAAGTAAATCAATAAAAAAGGCTATTAAAATACTATTTTTGTATATATATATACAGTGGGGGAAAAAAGTATTTAGTCAGACACCAATTGTGCAAGTTCTCCCACTTAAAAAGATGAGAGAGGCCTGTAACTTTCATCATAGGTACACGTCAACTATGACAGACAAAATGAGAAAAAAAATCCAGAAAATCACATTGTAGGATTTTTTAGGAATTTATTTGCAAATTCTGGTGGAAAATAAGTATTTGGTCAATAACAAAAGTTTCTCAATACTTTGTTATATACCCTTTGTTGGCAATGACACAGGTCAAATGTTTTCTGTAAGTCTTCACAAGGTTTTCACACACTGTTGCTGGTATTTTGGCCCATTTCTCCATGCAGATCTCCTCTAGAGCAGTGATGTTTTGGGTCTGTCGCTGGGCAACACGGACTTTCAACTCCCTCCAAAGATGTTCTATGGGGTTGAGATCTGGAGACTGGCTAGGCCACTCCAGGACCTTGAAATGCTTCTTACGAAGCCACTCCTTCGTTGCCCGGGCGGTGTGTTTGGGATCATTGTCATGCTGAAAGACCCAGCCACGTTTCATCTTCAATGCCCTTGCTGATGGAAGGAGGTTTTCACTCAAAATCTCATGAAACATGGCCCCATTCATTCTTTCCTTTAAACGGATCAGTCGTCCTGGTCCCTTTGCAGAAAAACAGCCCCAAAGCATGATGTTTCCACCCCCATGCTTCACAGTAGGGATGGTGTTCTTTGGATGCAACTCAGCATTCTTTGTCCTCCAAACACGACGAGTTGAGTTTTTACCAAAAAGTTATATTTTGGTTTCATCTGACCATATGACATTCTCCCAATCCTCTTCTGGATCATCCAAATGCACTCTAGCAAACTTCAGACGGGCCTGGACATGTACTGGCTTAAGTAGGGGGACACATCTTGCACTGCATGATTAGAGTCCCTGGCGGCGTAGTGTGTTACTGATGGTAGGCTTTGTTACTTTGGTCCCAGCTCTCTGCAGGTCATTCACTAGGTCCCCCCGTGTGGTTCTGGGATTTTTACTCACAGTTCTTGTGATCATTTTGACCCCACGGGGTGAGATCTTGCGTGGAGCCCCAGATCGAGGGAGATTATCAGTGGTCTTGTATGTCTTCCATTTCCTAATAATTGCTCCCACTGTTGATTTCTTCAAACCAAGCTGCTTACCTATTGCAGATTCAGTCTTCCCAGCCTGGTGCAGGTCTACAATTTTGTTTCTGGTGTCCTTTGACAGCTCTTTGGTCTTGGCCATAGTGGAGTTTGGAGTGTGACTGTTTGAGGTTGTGGACAGGTGTCTTTTATACTGATAACAAGTTCAAACAGGTGCCATTAATACAGGTAACGAGTGGAGGACAGCGGAGCCTCTTAAAGAAGAAGTTACAGGTCTGTGAGAGCCTGAAATCTTGCTTGTTTGTAGGTGACCAAATACTTATTTTCCACCATCATTTGCAAATAAAATCATTAAAAATCCTACAATGTGATTTTCTGGATTTTTTTTCCTCAATTTGTCTGTCATAGTTGACGTGTACCTATGATGAAAATGACAGGCCTCTCTCATCTTTTTAAGTGGGAGAACTTGCACAATTGGTGGCTGACTAAATACTTTTTTTCCCCACTGTATATATATATATATATATATATATATATAATGTGTCCCAAAGTGTTATGTCATTGGTGTTAACACCTTGAAAATCACATTACAAAGATATACAAGGACCTTGAGTGGCAAACTGTTTTTGGGGAGCAGTCTTTATTAACGAAAACTATTAACTAATCACACCCTTTAGTATGTCATAAATTTGAGGATTCCATTGATCATTTGGTGTGTCTAAATACAAAGTGTCATTGGTGTTACTCAATGTAAATTATGGAAAATTACATTGTGAGCAAAATGATTAATCATATCACTTTCGTAAATTAAGGGTTAAAGTGTTCATTAATTACCTTAGATTTGGGCATTTGTGGCCTCCATTTAAGAAAATCTTCAATTACCAAAAATTTGTCATTGGTTTTACCGTCATTGGTGTTACTACTCCTAAGGTGAAGTCAGCATTAGTGGGACACTTTTTGGTAAATCGCTATGTAGAAAATCAAAATCAGCCTACCCTCCTCAACTAACGTTTATTTCAATGAATTAAGGTTGTATCTAAATTTTTATGATGAAACAAGTTGATAGTTTATTATTCAGTGGATGCAACCCTCCTTAAAACAACATCAGACCCCTTCTTTTGCTAAAGCGTGTCTTTCAGTTGTAGTGGGACACTTTAGTTGATGAAGTGGGAAACTATTTTCTTATTAGAAACATTAATGTCCCACTTCACCTGGCACTTATTATAAAATCATCAAAAAGACTTTGTAGAGGCTTATAGATAACACACTCTGTTTTCACAATTTTGTGACAATAACATTGTACTAGACACTCTCCATGTCCTTGCAAAATTGATTTGGGGACATTCCAAGCTCTTCGTGAAAATCTAACTAAAGGACTCTGGAGTCTGCACAGCTTTTACTTGATCCTGAAACAGCTCTATTATTCCCCAAATGCTGTCCCCTTTCATAAATTGAACCTCTTTTCTATCCTCACGTTCTTACATGCCATTGTCTTTTGTTTAATTTCTTTCCTACCCTTGTTATTTCCCTCATCAGAGTTATATGCCTACAGAGTTATAGGCCTACAGCAAGTAACTGCATGCTTTTCATGATCAGTAAACATCAATTGATCATGTAATTTCAGATATGTGAGGGTAGCCTCACGATATCTCTCAATATTGGCCACCATTAATTGGATATTTGAGTGATACAAAAGTGAACATTACCTGACAAGTATGAGTGGTTTAGGTTCATTTCCAATCCTTTGTGGGGTCTGCCTCTCAAGCAGCAGAACGGTTGCATTTGCCGATGTAACGGTACTGTTACAATGCCTTCAGAAAGTATTCATACCCCTTGACTTATTCCACATTTTATTGTTTTATTTATCTATAGTGGTGATGACAGTAGTCTGACTGATAACTTTACCAGGACGAAGTCAAGCACTTTCCAAAAGCATAATCTCTGATGAAGCAAGCTAAATGACACATTGTTTGCTTTAGCTAGCTAGCTACATGCCAAATGGATCTGGCTATCCTCATGTATCTGAAAATGCATGATCAAATTATGTTTACTGATTGCTGTAAAACTCTGATGATAGAGCTAAATGTGGAATAATCGTAAATGTGTAGTTCTGACTATGCTCTTCAAGAGGTGATGATATTAAAACCAAATAGTTATAACATTTATTTAGCCATCCCTTGAAAACGGCACGTATTTGTCAATGGCTTTAGCGGAGCCCCCCAGCAGCCAAATCGAATGCTGTTGTGACGTTTTATTGATAACAAAATATAAGAAAGAGAGTTCCAAACCTTTCTGCCAATAATAAGCCATTTAGCAGACGCTTTTATCCAAAGCGACTTACAGTCATGCGTGCATACATTATTTTTTGTGTATGGGTGGTCCCGGGGATCGAACCCACTACCTTGGCGTTACAAGCGCCGTGCTCTACCAGCTGAGCTACAGAGGACCACCAATAACAGCTAATTTTCTGTTTCCCCCTCCCCACTCAGACCACTCCCAGACAGTCTTAGCAATATTCTTGTCTGAGAAATTGCACTTTGCTAAGCAATCTTTGTTTATTTTAGATTTTTTTTTTTTTTTTAACAATCATAGTAAGGTATTTTGATATTGAGACAAAAACGGCTGCATTGGACCTTTAATGTATTTTAGAATATCTAATGAAGGAAATTGCATTTATATTGATTAACAGATGTTTTATGCACAGTACACATTTAGCAGCAACTCAATAACATTTGTTGTGATTGGGTTGCAAAATGACCATAGCGCAGTACATTTAAACACAAATGTCCCACTACACCTGTGGGGTATACTACAAAGCAGGATCAAATAGTTAGCCAGCTAACTTGCCTAATTGTTCTGAAATAACTTTTTATTTTTTAGAAAGATAAGCTTGAAATGGGCATGGTCTCAAAAACCCAAAACACTAAGTTTTGCTTTCTTAATGAACCAGAAAATCAAGTTATTTCTGGTTGTTTATCAAAATTAGCTGGCAAATTCATTGATCCTGCTTTGTAGTAAACCACTCTGATGTCCCACTAATTCTGACTTCACTTTACTGGTGGCACAATGTTATCATAATGGTACCAACAAATACATATATCATCAAGCTGCCATATGAGTTGATTTAGAATGAGAAGATACTCAAATAGCCTACATTTGAATAAATCAAATAATATAGAAAACGTGTTTTTCTTCCAAAATGTCATGCCCAAATGCTACCGTAATTCAAGAACGACACAATTGCTAAAACTACTACAACAGTCAAAACCTCCCAAACTCAGCCTAACATTGATAGTCACAGAAAGCAAAAACTTA